AATTATATATTGTGTAATCTGATAAGAAATCAATTAAATAAATACGGTTTATATTAAATCCGTCCCACGGATTTAATTCACCTATTCATTAATTCAAAATAAAGATATGACGGAATTATATTTGATTTATTCTAATAAATCAAAGTTGAGATATTATATTATACCATATCAAATCTAGAACTGATATAGATTTAATTTATCCCAATAAATCAAATCTAAGATATCATATCAATCTAAATTTCAAATTTAAAAGTGATAGAGATTTAATTTATCCTTATAAATCAAATCTTATAAATATCTCTTATATCATATAAATATATATACGCGAATATATATATATATATACACGTTCACCCTAGATTATTTATTGAATCTGGATATATCTTAGATTCAATGAATCTGGACATCATAGCTCGTGTTGGGCTATTTTGTGTGCGACCCTGTAGGCCCATATGAAGTTGGCAGTGGGCCATTTACTATAATGACTCACAAGTCGTAAGCGGTCTCTAGCAAGACATCACGACTACCCAAATCATATGAGGATCAATGAACGATGTTACCTTTCACACAACCATATCACGTCCCTTTTGTCACACGACATTTTGGTCATGGATAAGGCATGGAGAACGTCATCCTCCTATTCCTGACTGTTACTTTCTTGATCCCTGAGTAGTCTGAGTATAGAAATGGAACTACCTTTCCATTATAGTATGGCCATACATTTCTCAGACTCACTCATCGAGGAGCCCAGTAATATCTCTCTACGAATGTGAGGGACAAATTCCATCTTGACCATTCACATTCCTCCATATGAAAAACCACTAAGCCTGAACATAGTCTTTATGATCACTCGGTCCAAAGTGACTTTTGACTAGGTCAAAGCTGAGCGTTTCTCATGTAGGAATCCATGATGATCTGAGGTCAAAAGGCATAGTGACATGGTTTGTATATGAGAGAAGCTTATGACTTAACCCATGCAGCTCTCTCAAAACGGGTCGGTCCAACACCTTGTACTCTTACATGTGCCTATGACTTTGATTTATATCTCTATACATCTTCAAAGTCATACTGGTCTTATTTCATCTCTGCTCCCACATAGATGACCGACCAGGGACATTAGGATAAATCATGAGTTATCCAAGGATAGGCATCACAGTAAACATGCAAATAATATGATAACATAATTAAGAAATTCATAAATCAACAATGTTCATAACACAATGATTGGCCCCTAGGGCACAATTTCCAACATTATAATCTTATCTAGCCTTATTTCATTAGGCTTTATTTTATATAAATATCCCACCAAGCCTGGTATGTAGTACTAATGATGAGGTTAGGGAATTCACTCCATGCTACAATTGAATTCCTTTATTTCCTAAGCACACAGCTTTAGAGAGTCTCCTAATATCTAGTTTCCCATCTAGCTAGCTAGCTGGTATTATCTTGATTTTGTCAAATAGCTAGTTTAACATTAAGTTTGACAAAATGGGCTTCTTCCGGGACCACCATAGTAGAAGTTGGCACCCCAATCATCAGAATAATCACCTAGGACAATGTCGTAGCACATGGCTTTGCCAGCAAAAGTGCTGAAGTACTTGGGAGTCACAAAATAATTTTCTTCATTAACAATGGAAATGTCCTTGAAAAGCTAGCCCTCCCAAAACCTGCTCGAGCGAAATATCCACTTCCCATTTCTGTTGTTGTGTGTTTCCCTTCAGATTTCTTGTTCATCACTTCACCTCCCCACTGTATTATTGATGCACTCTTAGACAGGCGATCAAACATAGAAGCTGGCCAGTATCCCACATCTGTATCCCCAAATCTCATCCACCAGTTCCCACTTCGTGGATCCTGCTGATTAATTAGTATTACGTTTATTGTTAGTTTACATTAAACCAAGACAAAAATTAAAAATCAGATGGCATTAGGAGGATCTATATTATGATTGTTTTAAAAAGGGATTTATGTTAATTCTATCCCCAAAAAAAGGTATACCTTCCTGATAAGGATGGAGATTCCATATTGAGAACCACCATCGACAGATAATGGTTGGAGGGTGTTTCCCATCAATACCGTATTGGAAACTTGAACAAAGCCAGGACATTGTAGGTTATAACAGCCAGTTTGTTCATATGAATCACTCTGTTGGATGAAGAAATAATCCATTTGAAAAAAACAACAAAAAGCGAGTGATGTGAAGAAACAAGAAATTGGGTTGATAAGAAATTTGAACTTACTGTCCAATATGCAAAAAGTCTTGGTTTATCATCCCCATATAGCATTGGATGGATCTAGTTGTCCAAATCAAGGAACAGCGTACCACGTACAGAGTTAATACATTTCTTGAATAGACATGTTGTAATGTACTGATGATGCGTACGTGTGATATGTGAGAGAAATTATAGAATACCTGCCAACCTGCTTCGATGCTTTCGACATTATCAGTATCATCTTGATTCATAACCCAAATTTGAGAGAGACTAAATTCATTGCGTCGTTGAACATTTGTCTTCCAAATGTTTATGAATGCTTTGGCTCCGTAATATTCATCTCCCTTCACTTCAGCTGTGTGATGCTACCAAATATTAAAACGCACCGCAAGTGTACGGGTCATAAAAATATATAGTAGCAAATCAAGGTCGATCCTACAGAAAACTCAAATAACAGTGATTAGGCAATAAAAATTCTCTTTTGTTTAAGTTGAGAAAATCAGCATTAAAAGAAATTGGGTGAAAAGAAATTAAAATAAAACAAAACAAAGCTTTCTTCAGTTAATGTAAGCAAATATTAAAAGGTCAACTTATAGTCACTAATCCCTTGCTAGCTTCTTAAATCTTGTTTCACTGAATTGATTAACTTTAATGTTAATTTTGTTAATCTAGAGTTCAATTAGCTACAAGTACCTGACGGTCCACTTATAACCCTCTCTTAAATTAATTATGTAATCTTTCACACAATTACCTAAGAGGCTAAACAATTTGGTCTCACTTATCAACAATTATACGGGACAATTAGGTATAATTCTATCATAATCACAAATTAGATTATCATCCAATCCCATATTACTTAATCTAAGAACTTAATTAAAATCCTCTTTGTCAAGAAAAACTTTAATTCTCAAATTCACAATTAATGGTGGCCAGTCATCAAATGGATAAATAAAAAACAAGATTAAGTAACTAAAATTTAACATTAAGCATCCCCAGTTCAGTGAAAACAAAGCTCAATCCACTAACAAGTTCATAGTTTCTCTAGGCTGTAAAACACACTAGCCACACATGACTTCAAGCAATCTCAATTCAGCAACAATAATTCCAGATTCAAAATCATGATAGAAAGAAAGAAAGAAAGATTGGAAACAAAACACTGTTCGAAGCTCCTACCACAGCTCGTGCTCCTCTGCTCAAAACCAGATTCGGCCTCTCGCAATGTCTGCCTCCTCCCTCTCTCGCTCACTGAACCAGTCGAGTCCAAGAGCAAGAGAAGAAGATGACGTCCAGTCTCCTTGCTGTGAACAGTGTCGAACTTCTCCTCCTGCAGAACCCGTCGGCCACCTTCAGAGAAGAAGTTCCAGTCGCGCCTCACTCCCTTCCTCACTATTCTTCTCGGCGTCTCTCTTCAGAATCCAGCGAAGAAGAAGAAGATACAGAACTGCTCCGCACCAGTTCGGCGCTTTCAGTCTCCGACCCTCCTGTTTGGGCGCCTTCAAGATGAATATCCCCCAAATCCTCCAACGCCCTCGAGGTCTCAACGATTCAAAAATTGCTTCCCCAAAACGTTGTCGTCCCCCATCTCCACCATCAGCACGTGCTCCTCATGATCCCGTTCAAGAATTTCCTAAACGAGCGTTGATGCTTGCTGAAAGAAGAAGAAAATAAAACAAATAAAAGGAAAAATTAAAATGAAAAGGAAAATAAAATAAAAGGAAAGGAAATAAAATATAAGAAATTGAAATAATAGAAAATAAAATCAACTAAATCTTAAACTTAATATTAATTATTTTTATTTATTTCAAACTAAGATTTATAATAAAATCCCCCAAATAATGCTCACAATTAATTTCTTTTCAAATCTCTTTTAAATCATCCAAAATCCTATTGATAACTCTCCAAAAATCACTCAAAATATTCTTTCAAGATATTCAAAATAATAAGTTATCACTGTGGCATACTAGAGGCACCAAAGCCATCAGAGACGAATATAATGTATGTATTTAACATACAAACACACACAAACAAGCCCTCTTTTTAGTCTGAAGTGAAAACCTTCAACTATAATTAATCCATGGTATTGAAAACCGGACCAGATCAACCGGTTTAGACAGGAAATCGATGAAGGAAACTGGTCCGGTTGAGTTTGTGAACTAGGTTCATGGTGACTTGGTGTGACTCGAACTAAACCGGGGTGACCCGCCCAATTTGGTGGGTTAACCCGAGTCCCCCTTTTTGTTTTAAAAAAAATATTTTGATGATTTTTTTTAAAAGTTGTTGATAATTAGGACTTAGTGATTGAATAATTATAGAGAGAAATATTTTGTTTTCATATATCTATTTTGATATTTTGTTGGGATGAATATTTAGTGATTTTAGTAGTATGATATTATAAGAAATTGTAAGGATGTGATTAGTTTACTAGTGATTCAAGATATTAAATTGATATCTAGTTCTTAGTGAACATTGAAATTATTTTTTATTTTTTTATTTATCACCGGTTTGACCCCCGATTTGACTCCAGTCTAATCTACTGACCCTTGACCCATTGCCTTGACCGGTTTAATTACCAGTCCGGTTTTTAGTACCTTGATTAATCCTGGTTCGACTCTACTACCTATATCCAATCTGTCCAACAACACAAGTTTGATTAGTAAACATCAAACTATATTGTTTTCTAAGGCATATGTTAAATTTGGTGAGTAAATTGTTGGGATTGGAGGGAGAAACCCAAAAATGGGCGGCAAAATCCAAACTGAGAAATCCTGAAAAAGGGGAGAGACCAAATTGGGTTAGGAACTGGGGGGATTATGCGTATAAGTGGTCTCCACACTATATCTGAATCCAAAATCTTAGGGAAATAAGTTTATGCTGGGTCCTTCCATTTATATTCCATCTTTTAACCCAACTTTATCCAAGTCAAGTCAATCCACTCCTGACATGCCAGCGTATATTTTGCATATTAAATATAATATACACTTCAAACATTCTAATAAATTGATAACATCACGGCAATAAAGGTACTTCGTGGCTATCCGTAGATGAGTATAATAATCCGGACAGATTTGGGATGCTCTTGTTATCCTTCTTTCCATATTGTTGGAAAGATCCTGATGGCCTCAATATGTCCTCTTTTGTTGTTCTTCTTATAGGAACGGTTCTTTCAGGACAACTTCCACTGTGGTGCCACATTTGAGCAATTGGCTTTGATTCAGTTAACCTTCTTCCTTTTGGAAGAAATGTTCGCCTCATCTTCCTAGAATAGGAAATAATTGGCCTCAGAATTATGAGTTATGAAATCCAATAAAACTAAAACATAAACTTAGATAAATTATTAATTTTACCTGAATTTTGTGATTCTTCAGTTTTGGATGATCGAAAGCAGCTGGCCGATTCAGAATATGCACGCAGTCGATTATGTCACCATCATGACTCTTCTCTTTTTAATACCAAATTAACCCAAACAATCGTAAATTATGTACTGTTATGATAAAAAACAAGAAATAATTTCTTCTTTAAGTGAAACTCCAAGAAAAATATTACAAATTGCTTGATTAATTCTATTATATGTATTCCTGAACATGAAACACTAACGCTTAACGTAATCTTCTTTCTTCTCTACCAACGCTACAAACATATACAGGTAAGAAACAATTATATATATGAAAAAGAAATTAAAAACAGCAGATCGAAAAACCAGTCGAAGAAGATGAGTTGGATACCTTAATAGACTTAACAGCTGGTTCATTCAACTTCTTCAGAAGCTTCCTAACCTCAAGTTGCTCAGCAAATCTACCAATGCCAGTCTTGGCCTTGCTGATTGTGTCTTATTCTGCCATCGCCATGTGCACAGAAGACAATAAAAAGCAGACAACACTTAGCAGCCGAGTCTTCTCATATCCTAGTTCGTACGCCATGAAAGCTGAGAGATATGAAGCAAGCAACTACTTCAGTGAAAATTCTGACTTGGAGATTCAAGAGTCGATCTTGAAGAAATTTATAGGATGACTTAAGATTTTTTGAAATTACATAATTATCCTTCTGTTTAAGGAGATTTTTCATCCAAAATACGTCTATTGACAGTTTAACAAGACAATAAGTAAGCATGCCTTTGAAACATGGAAAACAGCTTTCAACTTAACAAGGCATCTTTCTTGCAGGTTTATTGCAGCTTTCAACTTCTGGGTTCTCATCTTCATGTTCATGGATAAACCAAACATATAATATGGTGTTTTTTCTCCCTTTTTCTAGTGCTGGGAAAATGATTATATATGTTTAGGTTGGACCAAACTTATGGAATCCGACTATGAATTCCGCTAACGTCATGTGTTGCACGAAATGAGATTGATTCATAGATATTATATGTGGTGTTTTGTCACCATTTTAAATTTTTACTAATCTACCAGGCATGATGCTTGATTTTGATTCTTAATTTACTCGATCGATCATCACCATCACCACCTCCACCTTTCACCAATAACTCTGAGACCTTACAATTGCACAAAGCAAAAATTATAAAAAGGGCTAATATTAGTAACTTTTTTTTTTCGTTTAAGATGATAATCTTGGATAATTAGGTTTTCCTACAGGACCACCATAAAAGAAGCGGGTACCTCGATAATCAGAGTAGTATAGCAGTTAGAATGGTTACTGGGATTGAAAATTTGAAATAGTCACTTGCATTAGGAGACACAACTTTACGTCATATCCACTATTTTTTTCCTATTGGATCTTATTTATTATATAAGGATTTTAGATGGATTCCACATATAATGAAAACAAAAATATCAAATCAATTTTAAAATGCAGGTTTTTATTTTTGGATGAACGAAAAAGTTTTTAACGGGTTGAATTTTAGGATTGATCCTTGTGAATTGATTTGTGTTTAGGATAGGAATATACCTAAGGACCTTGCGTAATTTAAACGGAGTAGCGCGGTAATCATCACTTGTGCTAATTAACATAAAGAATTTTGTAATAAGATTAGGATAAGTGTTTAAGTGATTGAGAAGACACTTATATGCACTAAAGATCCTGAGATAAATAAGAGAAAGAATATAAATCAATCGTGTAAGTTAATTAAATTTGCCTTCTTTATTCTATAACACATGAAGTTTTACTAGCTTTCGCCTTTTTTGGCTCTAATTCTGAAAATTATTCATTGATTGTTTTGCTTGATCTAAGATAACGAGGTAGTTTAATGTTATAATAGTAATACGGAAAGTTCTCTTGAGAGAAGGATTTCTCAGTTCTCATCAACAATATGTAGTTCGTCTGATAGTTACGAGGCCCTTTGGGAACACAAAAACGAACTAAAGTCTAAATGTTTGTTTTATAAAAACTTTACGTGATATATTTTAAAAATTAAAAAAAATTCATATAACTTCAGTAAAATTTAAGGGGGAAAAGCTACAAATTTATTCAAATTATTGACACTTTGAAATATAAAAAAAAAAAAAATTCTGCAAACGGTAAACAAAATATAACAGTAATACTTTCTTTTTCTCTAAATTCTTTAGATACATATGAATTGATCTGAATGAATAGTTTATAAGGATCATGGGCAATTAGGATTTCTGCCAGGTCCCCCATAGTAGAAGTAATTGCCCCAATTATCAGAATAACCACTCTTCACATTGTAGCAATTAGACTGATCAGTGTAGGTGGAAATATCAGGAGGAGGCAAAAGTTGATTATCTTGATTAACAACTTGGAGGTCTTTGAAAAAGCTGGCTTTTCCAAAACCTTCTTCAGGAAAACGGCCACTTCCCATTTGTGTTGTGGTGTGTTGTCCATTAGATCCTGAGTTCACAATTTCACCTCCCCATTCTATCACTGTTGCACTGTCTGATAGATTTGGGAACAGAGAGGCTGGCCAGTATCCGAGAACTTGTTCATTCCCAAATTGCATCCACCAGTTTCCTTGTTTTGGATCCTGTTTGATGCAGATTTCGTTAACCAAGCAAGTTACAGAACAAGATTATTTTCTCAGATGAGTCTAATTAGGGAAAAAAGTTCGTGAAGTCAATTATAAAAACATATATCAAAATATAAGTTGATTTTACTTGAAAAAAACAATTGTATCCCATGATTTTATGTTAATTTATAGCTGATTTCTTAATTTTCCCTCCTTAACCCGCTTATTCAAATGGGAAAAATCAGTTCTTGCAATTACTTTTTTTTGGTAATGGCCCTGAAAAAATAAAATAAGGACTAAAGTACATACTTGGTCTTTTAACTTTGTATAAGATTTTAGTTTGGTCCCATAACTTTAAAAAATATATTTTTAGTCCTTTAACTCTAAAATTATTAACCAAAAAATAAAAAAAATGATGATTGTTGATAAAACATTATCATATACTAAAATATTAAATTTAATTTTCAAAACAATCATAATTGTTAGGAAAAAATTATCATTTAATACTAATGATTTTATGGTTAAAAGACTAAAAATATGCTTTTTAAGGGATCAAACTGAAATCTTAAGTAAAAATAAATGACTAAA